TAGTTCTTATGGGTCTTAATAAAGAATGATACTTATATAGTTTTATAGGGATCTAAAACTTAATTTAAGGAATCCTAATATATTTATCTATTTCACTTGGTGAGGGTGGGGGTGTCCTGGGCCAGTTTGGGCCTAATCCTATTTTATGTAAAGAAAAGATTATCTTTAAGTTTATGTTAAATGTATCTTGAAGGGCCTTCCAAAAGTCAAGATTATTTCTGCCTAGATAGAACTCCACCCTCCATTGTGACCACGGAGATAAAGCATTGTAATTAACAGTAGGTGATCAGGGCCGAGGGGAGTGGTCGGGGAATTAACTTTTGGGAAAATCTCATCACATACTCAAGAGAGCTGTGTAATTTTTTTTAGTATCAAGTAAGGGATTAGTTAACCAATTAAAACTGCAAATATTATTGAGTGGCTATGATGAACTGTTTAGGGTGGAGAGGATACAATGGGAAGCAAAACATACAAATCCAGGCCATCTTGGCAGTTAAGTGTTAGCAGGACACACAAACAAAAAAAAAAAAAAATTAAAAAAAAAATATATATAGTATATCAGGGAGTCAGAGGGGCGTCGCTTCCCAGCAAGGCTACCATAGTTTCTGGAGCAAATAGCAAGTGGCCCTGCCGGCATGCTAATACGACCTAAGTTTTATTCCTAGGTTGGGGGGGCGGGCGGACACAGCAGCGGCCTTGCCAACATGCTGGCCCGACCTAAGAGGTAAAGGTCAAAAGCTCAAGACAGATCCTGGGGCCCTACCGGGTTGGACTCCTCCATCAATCACAGTGTAGTTATACTTTTGTGACTGGCTTATCTCACTTAGCATAATATCCTCTAGGTTCATCTATGTTGTAGCATTTATCTGTTTTTTTTTTTTTTTCCTTAAGTTTATTTATTTCAGGTTTGCTGTGTAGCCTAATGGGTAAAGGAACTGGATCCCACTTGACTGACTACAGTTTGAGTCTTAGCCCTGGTGGCTTGAAAAAGACATGCCAGGTATTGTGCATGCATGCTCCAAAGGATGGAGAAATGAGGAGAAGGAATTGTGGCATGACCGTGCCCTTTTGGGTGTGATTTATCTCTCATTCTCTCCCTGTATCTTTCTATCTATCTCTGGCAAATGCTTAGGCCCTCTGGCAATTTTGAAAAATTTTTACTTATTTTTTCCATAAGCAAGAGAGAGAGAGACTGGGACAGCACCCCCAATGAAGTCCTAATGCCGTTTCCGCCCCCAGCTCCAGCCAGCCCTTGTTCATTGGCAAGCATGTACCCAGAGAACTCAGAGAGGTCTCTAGACTTGAACCAGGAACCTTCCCATGTGGGGTTACCTTATAGAGCATCATGTTTTCCCACTGTCTGGCCTGTGTCTTTGCTTTTTAAGGCCAAGTAAGTTGTGTTCATTTTAAAAGATGTAATATGCTGAATATAGATAGCTGTTCTTTGCTCATACTTAAGGATAACCCCATATATCATACCAAATATATTTGTTTCCCCATTGCTCTCCTACTAAGCCAAATTTAAATATTATTGCTTTATATTTGTGTGCCATGAGTTTCTTTTCTAAACATGTTCATGTACATTCTTTTTTTTTTTAAGTTTTTTCCATAGGGCATGTGCATTTCCTGGAGAGAGACAGAGAGGGAAAGTGAGAAATAAGCTCCCTGATAAAATGGCCACGACACAATTCCCTCTCCTCCATTCTCCTCTTGGAATTTTGGGCATGCATGCACACGTGCCTGGTGTAATTTTTGAGTCACTAGATCTGGGACTCAAACCACCCTTGGCCATATGAGAGTCTAGCACCTTAACCACCACACCATGTGCTAGCCCCTATACATATAATGGAGGGCTGGCAAGTGACATGGTGGTTTAAGGACGTGTGACTCCCACATGGCCAACCATAGTTCAAGTCCTGGACCTGGTAGCTTGGTTTCTCACTTTCCCTCTCTCTCTCTCTCTCTCTCTCTCGTTCTGTCCCTCTCTGGTCAAATTAAAATAAATAAATAAAAGTTAAATTAAAAAATAAATAATAATGGTTAATAATGAACCAATCCTTTATTATTTAGTAGTGTCTCTATTTTGCTAGGCTACTTTAGTTGTTACTAAAGTAATTTACTTCCGTAGTGTTTACTTCTGTTGTCTTTTTTCTGTACCAGAACACCATCCAGGACACCAAATTATATTTACTCACCATTTTTTTAATAGATTTCTGTAGACTGTGGTAGTGTCTCAGACTTTCTTTGCTTTCATTGAGCTGTCCTGGCTAGGCAGTTTGTAGACTGTCCTTCTGTTGGAGTTTGTTTGTTTTACTCATGACTAAGCCAGTGTTACGGAGGTATTTTTGGAAACAATGGTTGGACATGTGGGAGTCCAGTGCCTTAACCACCACGCCACCTGCGGTACCCTCCCCACCAACCCCTTTTATACTGTGTTCTTTGGAAGGAGATTGCTCTTTGTTCTAGCCCACACATAGAGGGTGGGGAGCGATGTGTGTTCTTGAAGGCATAGTATCTTTTTTAAAAAAAGAATTATTTATTTAACTTATTATTATTTAAAAATTTGCTGCAGGGCATGTGTGCTTACCAGAGATAAACAGAGAGGGGCCTGGGGGAGTGAGCAAGCTGCCAGGTCTAGGACTCAAACTGTGATCAACCACATGGGAGTCCAACACCTTAACCACCATGCCACCTGCTGGCCCCGAGGGCATAGTATATACATCAATATTGGTAATTCTTCTGCAAGGAAGATTTGTCTTCTCTAGCATTTACCTATTGATTCATTTATATCAGTATGGATTCATGGATATTTATTCCATACTATGTGTTATAATCCTGTACTATATCTATTTAATTTTTTAGTTGTTGCAACTTTGGCCATTGGGAGCACTTACCAGGGCTCCTGTATCCCTTTGATGTGCTTTATCAATACAGGTTTTTTTAGCTCGTTTGTTTTCTGGTTGTTTTTTTTTGTTTTTTGAGTACCTCCTTACTTTCTGGTTCTACAAACTACACAAGGATCATCCTGTATATTTCCTGGCCCCGTCCTTGCCTTAACCATTTCTCCATGGAGTCCTGCTTCCTTCATTAGAGAATGGTATTGGGAACCAAGATACCAAGATTTAAACTTTGAGTGGTTTGTTATTTTTCCTTTTTATTTTTGCAGGAACCTCACTGTGTCTGGATCCTCCTGTCCCAGCCTCCCAGTTGTGACTACTGGTGTACACCACCATGCCCAACTCTTTTTTAGACAGGGTCTCATCATGTTGTCTAGACCAGCCTTGAACTCATGATCTTCCTGCTTCCACCTCCCAAATTGTGGGGATCACAGACTTGGGCCACCATGCTCAGCCTTTAGTTTGGATAAGAAATTAAACCTGGACCTCCCACGTGGTCCCATCCTGCAAAGAACAGGATCTTAGCAACGCATCCACCACAGCTGGACCTGTGCATTCGTTTTCAACCTTTTCAACAACCTTGTGTGACTTCTTCATGACTTTTCTATCTTTTCATTTTCCATAAATCTGAAACAGTGGGCAGAGTGTGGTGGTTAAGACTAAGGACTCAAGGGAACCAGCAGTTGGCATAATGGCTATGTCGCTGGACTCCCACGTAGTCGACTGCGGTTCACGTCCTGGACCCAGTGGCTTAAAACTCATGCCGGGCATGTGTGCGTACGTGCCCAAGATCCCGAGAGGAGAATGAAGGAGAAGTGATTGCAGCGTGACCATCCCCCCCTGGGGGTTGATTTCTCGCTTTCTGTCTCTATGTCTCTCTCTGTCTGTCTGGTGAGCACACGCGCCTTATAGCGAAAACCTCTCCAAAAAAAAAAAAAAAAAAAGACTAAGGACTCAAGAGCCAGCCCAGAAGTGCAGGAATTAAGCACTGTATGTAAGGAATCAGATCACATAGGGCCAACTGCGGCCTGAAGAATGCACAGGACACGTGTGTGTGTGTGTGTGTGTGTGTATGTGTGTGTGTGCATGCCCCAAGTCCTGATGGGAGGGAGAAATGGAGGAAAAAGAATTGTAGTAGGACCATGCCCCATTGAGGGGTACTTTCTCTCTACTTCCCTCTCTCTCTCTCTCACTGATGAGTGTATGTGTGTTCTGGCAATTAAAATAATGGAAGAAAAAAAAGAAAAAAGAATAAGGAATCGAGAGTACTTACAGACCACTTGGCTTCACTGCGCAGCTCCATACTTAGATCCTGTGTGGACTTCATCCCTTGGTGCCTCAGTTTCCTCTTGTATAAAATGGAGATTACAGTAGCACTTACCTTGTAAAGATCTCGTAAAGATTAATAGAAGTAAGACCTGTGACGCACTTAATGGTACCTGGCACCTGATTCATGCTCAAATGCTGGTGGTGGTGGTGACAGTGGTTATTTGAAGAGGACAGGGCAAATACAACCTCTATTTTGTAAGTTATGTGCCTTGCCTGAGACAGTGGTCTCGGTGGGGTCTTTGGCTTCCGTGGCACCGTCCCCTCTTCTGTTTCGTGTGATTCTATGTTTCAGTGAGCGAGTGTGATAAGGTCTTGGCACACTGCGGTGCTCTTGTGGACTATTAATACTGACACTGGAGTTGAGGGCTTGGAAATGCCTAGATGGGAACAGATTACATTTTAAAATACAGGTACTCAAATGGGTACTTAAAAAAAAGTTTATTTATTTGTTTCTTCCATGAGATAGAGAAACAGAGACAGCACCCCTAAAGGGGTCTTCATGCCATGGTCCATTTCCAGTCCCAGCCATCCCAGATCATGGGCACAAGCATACCCAGTATACTCAGGAACGTCCTGGGATATGAACCTAGGAGCTTTCCTATGTGGGTCTGATTGCATTACCACTGCACCATCACCTGGTCCCCAGATGTGTACTTTTAAGATAAAAGAGTAGAATCCTGTGTTATTAAAAAAAAAATCATTCTAAATTAGGAATGAAAAGTTGTTCAATTTTTAAGTTAACTTGAATTCTTTCTTAATTTTCTTTTCATTTAGTGGACTCATTGGGCGGAGCTGGGCTATGTTGTTTGCCAGTGGAGGCTTCAAGGTGAAACTCTATGATATTGAGCAACAGCAGATAACAAATGCCCTGGAAAACATCAGGTAGGTCAGTTGATACCTTCCAGGGGAATTGAAATGAGTTGAAATAACTGTTTTTCTTGGTTGTTCTTATTTATCAAACTCTCAAGGCAGCCATGTGGGATCCAGCTGCCATAGCCACCAAATTACTGGCTGGCCCCTATTTAAAAAAAAATATTATTCATTTTTATTTGCTATTATGCACATGTACTCTCTCTCTCTCTCTCTCTCTCTCTCGAGCAAGTGAGAAAGCATCCTCTGGGGAGGATGGCCATGTTGCAATCCCTTCTCTTTTGTTTCTCCTTTTGGGATTTTGGGCATATAAACACATGTGCTGGAGTGTTTTTCAAGCCACGGGGTCTGAGACTCAAATTGCACACTTGACCATGTGGTATCCCTCTGCCTTAACCACCATCACCGGCTGGACCTCCTCAGGGCTATTAATATGAAGAGACTTCAGAAAGTTTTAGAAAATAAAATTAAAGTTAAAGTTTGTTTTGGTGCAACTTTTTGTTTGTTTGTTTTTAGGTTTTTACCATAGGGCATGTATGCTCACCTGAGAAAGAAAGAGAGAAAGAGAGAGAGAGAGAGAGAGAAAGTGAAAAATAACTCCCATGGTGTGGGAGTGGCCATGCACATGCACACCCCTAGCATGATTTTCAAGCCTCTGGGTCTGGGACTTGAACCACTATCAGCCACATGGGAGTCTAGTGCCTTAATTACCATGCCACCTTCAGGCCCTGGTACAATTTTTCTTTTTAAATCTATGCAGTTTTTTTTAAAGAGTTTAATTATTTTCTCTCCATGAGCAAGATAAATATATATATTGGATTGTTGTAAAAGTCATGATGCATTTTTATGTAGAAAAACAGGAAAAATACATTATGACTTTTCTGACAACCCAATATATAGAGAGACAGATACAGAGAGAGACAGAGACAGTGCCCCTAGGTGCAGGCTCTCACGTGTACCTGGTGTGTTCGGGGAGGTCTCCAGGCACAAAGCTGGAATCTGCTGTGTGAGTCAGTCTTTGCAGCATTGCATTACTGCTGCACCATCCCTAGTTTTTCCATAATAATGCATTTTCCATCAATTTTTAAAAGAACCCCCCCCCCCGCAGTCTGTGCTTTTGCTTTCTATTTGATGGCTATTGTAGTGCCTCTAATCTGGTAGAAGCCAAGTACCAGATGACTGGAACATGAGCCAAGACTAGAGAAGGGACTGAAAACAACCCTGTAGATTGAGAAGAATGAGACAGAAGTGGAGGAGCCGCTTGTGAATCTTAGGATTCAAGCCTGAGTGGGTTCATGACTTTTCTTGCTGTGTCACATGGGGTGGAGGGCTGAGCTTCCTGCTTTGTCTCTGGGGAGGATATCCTGATTCCTGCATGTGATGATGAGAGCTGCCTGGGCCTTACCTTTCAAACCTAGAGGTTATGAGGTTGTTTTCGCCTATTGACCTAAGGATGGTAGGATCCAAGTTAAAACATCCTGAATTTTAGGTAGAGATTCAGCTCTTGTGAGAGGAAGAGCTGGAATTGCTTGTATGGGTTAGTATCTGCGACAACTGTCTAGCTATAGGCATTGGCATAAATGAACTTACCAAGTGCTGAGTGCAAAGAATGCTGAGGGCTGAGTGGAATGGTAGTCACAGGTGGTAGAAGAAGAATAGGTACCAAGGAAAAAAGCCAAGAGTGAGGGAGGTCGAAGATAAAGGAAAAAGGTATTAAACTGATGCAATATACCAGAAGGCAAAGGCAAAGATACCCAAAGGCATGACACATCCATTCCTGGTGACTGTCATTGAGCACAGTTCTGACCACCTCAGACACGGTTTTGTTTAGTTGGTTATCTTTCCTTGGAAGATACCCATGTAACTTGAATTTACATTTTAAAAAAGGGTTATTTCATTCAGGACAGAGAGAACCCCTGACAGGGTCTGAATAGTATGACAAAAAAAATTTTAATCCATGCATAGTTTTTTTTTTAGTTTATTTCTTCCATGAATAAGATAGGCAGAGAGAGAGAGAGAGAGAGAAGAGAAGACAGAGACAGAAAGAGAGAGACATGCTAACAGGCTTTCTTTCTTTTTTTAAAAAAATAATTATTTTATTTAACTTTATTTATTTATCTATTTACTTTGTTTTGACCAGAGAGGGACAGATCGAGTTAAGAGAGAGAGAGGGAAAGTGAGAAAGCAAGCTGCCAGGTTCGGGACTTGAAACACGATCGGCCATGTGGGAATCCAGCACTCTTAACTACCATGGCACTTGCCGGCCCCAAGGTTTTCATGTTATGATCTCTCCATAGCTCTCTCAGCCAGTCATGATCATGGGCATGTGTTCCCCACATGTACAGGTTGACCAGAGAACCTAATCTACAGTCTTCCATATAGATCCAGCATTGTTTGAGTAGCTTTTTGAACCACTGAGCTGGCCCCATTAAAATAAAAAGTTTATTTACTTCTTTCATAAGAGACAGATAGCAGGGTGGTAGGCATCCCCAAAAGGATCTTCATGCTACAGTCGATCCCCACCTCAGCTAGCCTGACTCATGGGCATGTGTATGTCTGGCATGCACAGAGAGGCCTCAGGATATGAACCTGGGACCTTCCCATGTGGGTTCAGCACTGGAGAGCTTTGTGTTACCACTGTGCCATTTTCTAGCTCCTTGCATTTTTATATAACAAAATTCTGCTTACTTGATCATTTACTATTTGAAAAGACCAATATACAGGATGTAGCATTAGACTATAGTAATTAAGAAGGTATATACCCTAGCCATGCTTTGTTGTTTTGCAGGTTAAGAACCGGGACCCAAAGAGGTTGAGTTGTTCTTTTTTTTTTTTTTTTTTTAGAGAAAGAGAAATTTTTTGCTATAAGGTGCATGCTCTCACTGGAGAGAGACAGAAAGTGAGAACTCATCATCCTAGGGGGGATGGCCACACCATAATCCCTTCTTGTCCACTCTCCTCCCGGATCTTGGGCACACATGCACATGGCTTAAGTTTCAAGCTGTTGGGTCCAGGACTTGAACCACAGTCGGCCATGTGGTAGTCCAATGATGTAACTGTTATGACATCTGTTGGTCCTGAGGTTAAGTTATTCTTACATATAGTTGCATATAGCCAATGTCTTGATAAAATGTCTATCTGAAATCAAAAACCATGGGCTGACCCTGTGGCCTAGTGTTTAAGTGAGCTGGATTCCGCAGGCTGAGGGTGCAGTTTGAGTCCTGGCCTTGGTGGCTTAAAAAACATGCCAATCACAAGTGCATGCATACCCTAAATCCCAACATGATGGAAAAAAAAGGAGAAGAGATTGCAGCTTGACCACACCCCGTTGTGGGGTACTTTCTTCCTCTTCTCTCCGTCTCTCTGTATCTCTAGCAAGTGCATGTGTTCTCTAGCAAGAAACAAAATAAACAACAGAACTGCTCTCCCCCCCAAAAAAACCCCTCAAAACAAAAAAACAAAACAACCACCACAAAAATCACACATGGACTCTCCTGTTTTGGAAAATGAGGGGCTTGGGGAAAGATGGGAAAGGGTGCAGGGTTTGAAACATGGTGGACGACATGGACCAGCAACAAACTACCAACACCATAGAGGAGCCCCTGGATCTCATCAGGCTCAGCCTGGATGAGTGAATTTATGTGAAAATGAGAAATGACCAAGAGCTTTGAGGCAGAATACATGCTTATGATCAGCATTTAAATATGATACTAGGAGATGTGGAAGAAATTGTGACTACTGTAAAAGCTGATGAAGAAACATATGAAGAGATATATAAATCAATGAAACAGAATATCCCAATGCTCTTCGTCTGGGGAGATGGTGTTGTACTAGTTGTCCTTCCATTAAGTGTAGGATAAAACAAAGACTTTGTTCTGTATGGAAAAATAGGAGATTTTGTACAGTTACCTCTTTAAGTGCACAAGACCTTCAAAGGAGAAACATGCATACATTCTGATATGATCCAAGGATTCTTTCACTCCTAAATGAGCTGATTCATAGATAATTCACTACTTCTTAGGCTGATGGCATTTTATTTTTCTTCAACTCTTCCAATAAATGCGATTGCTAAGATGGAAAAAAAGAAAAAAAAAAAAAAGAAAGAAAAGATAAAAGAAAAGGGACTTGGCATTTCAGCACCTATTACCTTCCAGGCATGTGCTATTCAGTAGGGATATATAGGTGGATCATATATAAACCTAGTCCTTCCTGCCATGAGCTTAGAGCCAGTAATCTTAGTGTATTAAATCTCATAATAAACTCAATGAGGGTATTACTTTATGAGAAAACGTGTGTCTATGGATGATTGATAACCCGCTCAAAGGCATAGTAAGACATAAAATTCCATCTTTGGTCTGTCAGACACATGTTAAGCATCTTCAGCATCCATCCATACCCCTTGTTTTATAGAGATTCTGCAAATATTACTTCTTAATATTATTTTTAAAAATGTTTATTTGATTTCATTTAGCATCATTAGCCTTCACTTTGGCCAGAGAGTGCCACACACAGAGATAGAGAGAGAGATGGGAACCAGCAGTTAGCGTAATGGCTATGTCGCTGGACTCCCACGTAGTCGACCGCGGTTGGCGTCCCAGACCCGGTGGCTTAAAACTCACGCTGGGTGCGTGTGCGTACGTGCCCAAGATCCCAAGAGGAGAATGGAGGAGAAGGGATTGTGGCGTGACCATCCCCCCTGGGGGGTGATTTCTCGCTTTCTGTCTCTATGTCGCTCTCTGTCTGTCTGGCGAGCACACGCGCCCTATAGCGAAAAAAAAAAAAAAAAAAAAACCTCTCCAAAAAAAAAAAAAAAAAAGAGATAGAGAGAGAGAGAGAGAGCCATCAGATCCAGGACTTGAACCATGGCCAGCCACATGGCAGTCCAGCGACTTAACTACTATGCCACCAGCCAGCCCCACTTTTTAATATTCTAAGGAATATATCAGTTATTTAAGTTCAGGTAGAATAATAATAAAATGAACATCCATGGCCATGACTTATCCAACTTAAAA